TGTTATGTGAACCCAGTCACTGATGTCCTGAAGTGGAGGCCCCGGAAACCGTTGAGTAAGCTCTTCCGGCTCCTAACTACTCTATTGACCTTCGGGAAATTCTCTTCAGTGTTCTCTGGACAGTTCATCTGCCAGTTCCAGGAAATCAACCCACTATTAAAGGGACGGAAGCAATTCAGGCTCGGGGGTGTTTGTTGTTCTGTTGGAACTTCACAACCATCATGGTGAATTAGTGATACACTGATCAGTCTAGTACAAGAATGGTGAGCAAATGTATAATTTTTAACAGGCGGATTAACTCCAATAATCCATATTATCAATTAAGAACACGGGTCTCCTTTTTGCAAGCAAAGAAAACTGCCAGCAAAAGAGAGTTGACTCAGTAATCATTAGACCTCGGCTTCCCACAGAAGGGAGTCCCTGCGATAGTAGCCCAGCTGTGGCCTAAAGGTCTGAGTGACCCAAGAAATCAGTAGCTCAGAGCCAGATTTGCCTATGAGGCTTTATTGAAAGAACAAGCAAATTTCTCACAAGAACTGGCTTTGCAAAGGATTGATACAGACAAGGAACTTACAGCGCTCAGCATGGGCAAGCCTGTGAGGAGCTCCAATCGGCTGGAATGGCAGATTTGTCGGAAACATTCCCAAAGGAAAATGGCTAGCCTTTCCAGACTATTCATGAGGAAGCGGCTGGCTGTCACAAAGGGGCAGTGACTGAGTGGTGCCCAACTTCCTGTTCACCTCGTTAGCAAGCCCAAGTGAATGCCATCTGCCCTATGCGCCTTCCCCTCAGTGCGCTCCATAATTCCCATCTCACTGGCATATCACAAGCCAAAAGAGTGACTCTTTCCCATCTTAGCCAATCCAAATACTCCCACTCCATGTTTCAACATGATAGGATGCAATACCATAAGCTAATTAAGGCAAGCCTATGAGGAATCCTGAGCTTGTTAAGCTCATCAGTAACAGGAAGCAGAAGCTTGTTAACTGGTTGGAGAAGGCAGGGCCCAGGCCAAGCACAGCTGCGTGTTCAGTCCTTTGGACATCTTCCTCAGGACCAGGAAACAGGTAAGAAGCTTACTCCTGGGAAACGTCACATTTTGAGAGTGACTCGAACTGTATTTGTCATAAAACCTCTCTTTGGGAGTCACGCAGCTACTTTTTTGAGCTTGTTTGTTGATTTCCTATTTGAGAAAATATCTTGTACTGCAAAGCTTGCTGCCCCAGTGACACCAAATCTGGCAATACGGCTTTTAGCACAGCCAAACCCTGGTTCAGAGCAGACTTGCTTTCCTCTTTGAGATGCTGGATTTCTCTTTCCATCGCTCTGGCTTTCTCTTCAAATCCTTCTTTCAGCAGCTTTTCCTGTTCCTAGAAAAGCAGGTGGGGGGGGGGGAGGTGCACACAGAGGCAACGGATTAGTAAGGAGCAGCAAAGATGCAACCACAGCGGGGCTTGGACCAACATATGCAGAGCTGCTGGTTGGAGTGCCCAAGCACAGCTTGCCCTGTGGCTGGATGACGGGGCCTCCCTGGGAGCAGCGGATGCTCCTGCTCCTGGGCTGGAGGTTGAGCGTTTGGCCTCTGGGCAAAACTGGAGGTGGCCTGGAGAGTCAGGGCATGAGGTGACATCCTGGAAGGCCGTGGTGCCTAGCTCAGTGGCCTGGCCAGGCTGCTGCAAGCAAAGCCGTTCCCTTTGCGACGAAGACAGGGAAGGGGCTTAAGGGCTGCAGTAAGGAAACATAGAAACTGAGCGAGTCAGAAGGGGGCTCCCGGGCCATCTAGTCTGACCTCTGGCACCAGCCAGCTCCGCTCACGACATGCCCACCGTGTGGATGTCCAGCCTATCCTTGAACACCTGCCTCATTCGAGCACTTAAGAAATGCGCGACAGGAATATTAAGTGCCCCATATGATCTACTGTAGGGCCTGGGCCGGGGCGAGGCCACAAAGCACTGTGAGTCTTTTGCCCAGGAGGGCTCCCCATGGCTCCTCAGCCCCCCTGGCCTGCTAACGCCACGGCGGGAGAGTGCCAGCAGGGCTCTTTCGAGGAGCAACTGGTGGTGGCCCCCTCCCCATTTTCAGCCTAAGCCCCCCTCAAAGCGAGAGACCAGTCAGCTCTGCAGAGGAGTTGCTGCCCTCTCACTCGCCTCCTTTGGGAGAAAGGCCAGGGGAAGGGATCGGGTGGGTGGCCTCTCTGGAGAGAACACCCGTCTGCCCATTCCCCCGCTCACCTAGAGGACTCTCCCACGAGCAGAAGACTGAGCAGGCGGCCTCCTGGTTAGCCCAGAAAAGAGCCAGTGTGGCACAGTGGTTAGAGAGCGGGACTGCCGTCCCCGGAGAGCTGGGTTCCAGTCCCCACTCAGCCACGGAGCCGCCAGTCATGGACTTTCAGCCTAACCTACTTTGCAGGGCTGTTGCTGTGAGGATAAAATGAAGACCCTTTGAGCAGCCTGAGGAAGAGGAAGAAAGGGGCAATGGCAACACAAGGTGAATATAGTAAAAACCAAACCAAAACAAAAAAATGTGCTGTAGCAAGTCAAAGCAGACAAAAGAAAATACTTTTTCACACAGTGTGTGGTTAAACTATGGAATCCACTTCTGAAGGGTGCAGCGATGGCCACTGGGTGGGATGGCTTTAAAAGGGCAGCAGACCAGCTCATGGGACCCATCGATGGCTACTGATCCAGTCGTGCTTGTGGATTTCCTGCGGGCAGCTCATCAGACACTTCAGGAACAGAACGCTGGTCCCTTGGCCTGATCCAGCACCGTTCATATTTCTGAGTGTGTGCCTGGCTGAGCACCCCTTACCTTGAGCTTGTGCTGGATCATCCTCTCGGTCTCCTCTTGCATCCTCTCCTTCTCCTCCCCCATCTTCTCCTTCAGCAGCTGCAGCTGCTCCTCATGGCTTCGCTTCTGGTCATCCAGCATTTGGGCCAGCCTGGCCTGTTCCTGCTCCAGGAGCTTCTGCTGAAGTTTGGCTGCTTCGGACTGAGCGCGCTGGGCTGGTGCAGAGGAGAAAAAATGGGCAACACAAAACCCTGGGAGGCAGCAAAGTCTGCAGACTTGCGATCTGGAAAGCAGCAGCTCCTCAATGACTCTGTCTGTCTGTTCACCTGGTCCCACCTTTGGGGACTGGGGGAAAGTTACCATGGGCAAAGCCCCTCTCTGGTGGTATCCAGACGTCGGAACACCCTCTCCAGGGAATGCTGATCCCCATGGAATGTACACCCTCCCCAAGGAATTGGGAATGCATCGGTTATAATCTTTCTTTTGTTCACCCAAGCTTGTAATGGCATTCCTATTTGCAGCTCATATAATTTAAAATACTTAATAAGGTCTGCTTGACCAGATCCACACCTTCAATTTCTTTCTCTTTATCGGTCAGGGCCTTGTCTGTTTGAAGGATCGATTTTGCTACCGGCTCCTTGGATTTCAGGAACTCTTGAAGGGCTTCGCCCGCCTGTTGGAAGACAAGGTTATTCTATGCAGGCAAAAATGGGAAATTCAGACATGATTTGGTGTTGGGATCAAAAGCAGAAAAGTGATGCATAAACATAGGAGTGTTAGGTGAGCTCGGCTGGATCAGACCAAAGGTCTAACTGCTCCGGCCTTCTGATTCCGCAGTGGACAACCAGATACCCCAGCAGCGAACTTGGAAAGGGAACACGAGCAAACGGCACCTTCCAACGCTTGCTGGCCAACAAGGGGCACTAAGAGATGGTTCGCGAATAGCTGCTGTTTGGCATGGTGCTGAGATTTTGATGCTTTGCAAGGAAGAAAAACCTTTTAAATCTTTTTAGGGATTTTTGAATGTTCAGCCTGTATGCTGTGGCCCTTTTTAATTGTTTTTATAGATGTTCAATTCATTATGTTTTAATTGGTCGTTAATGTGTTTTTATTCTGTTAGTATGTTTGCCTTGCAAGGTGCCTAGGAAGGCCTCGGCGATTATAGGCAGCCTATAAATATCGGTGAAGGAAGGAAGGAAGGAAGGAAGGAAGGAAGGAAGGAAGGAAGGAACCGGGGCAAGGCTACGCACGGTCGCAGAGAACTAAGTCCCACTGAGCTGAACGGGGCTTGCTTCCAAAAAGATGTGCAAGCCATTGCAGCCTCAGTGCACACAGCGCGGACGCATTCGCAGTCAGCATCAGGTTTCCTCTCCGGGCATCGCAGAACTGCCAGGTACAGCCCTACCTGAATCCCTTTGCCAGGGGTCGCGTGGTATTTCTCCTGTATGTTTTTCAGTGTGTCCTGAAAGTGCTCGTAGCCTCCGGGCACCGAGTAGGTGCCCATGTGGATGTCACTCTCCAGCCCCTGGGCAAGCTTGGTAAGCAGATCTGTGCAGTGGTCAAAGGACACCTGCTCGTTCTTCTTGCAGAATTCCTCCTTTTTCTGCTTCAGCTTGTGCTACCAGAACAACACAAAGAAGCACCAGAAATAGGGCGTGTCAGCAGTGGTCCAAAGCTCTTTCTCACAGCTGTGTGATGCAGGAAGAAGACACAGGAAGGCGGCCTCCGCGCTACAGTGCCAATTTCAGCCCATCTGGAACGGACGGCACTGTCCCATCCTCCCCAGCAAAGCCATAGGTATTGGCTGGGAGCTGGTGTTATCTGTGTGGGCTGGACCTTGAAAGGTTTGGCCAACATAGAGTGCAATTCCACGGTTTCCCAACCTTGTCTGGGAAACCGCAGGATTTTGGGGGGGGTTCAGGCACAGAGAACCTCTGTGTTTGGACTCCAAAGGCGGAGCTCCTGCCCTATTTAGGAGCATGGAACTAAACTGCAACTCAGCCTCGAAGGCAGAAAAAAGGGCCTGCCAGAAGGCTGGAAAGGGAGGGGGCTGGAGCACATCCCTGCATATCAAACAATATAGTTGAAAATATCTGTATGCTATGTTTTTATTAAAAGCACGTCAAAATAACGAAGCATCTTTGAAAGCCTAATAAACACCAAGAATGGCAGCAGGCACCAAGCTGGAAATACTTTTTGATATTTGGGGGGATCACTTTATGGTCCGCAGAAATGGGCCACAGTGTTGGAGAGAAAGAATCCTATGGTGCCACGAGGCTGCAACACCAGCCCAGGATGCCAACGGGGCACAAAAGTGAACTCACCTCCAAATCAGCTTGGAAGGTTTCGATTTTGTTTGCAAAGGAGCGATTCAGGAACACACCAATGGCTTCCCTCTCACACTCAGTGTGCACCCGGAGCAACGCCTCAATCGTGTCCGTGGGCAGCTCCAGCCGCTGCGCCATGCGCTCTTCGTAGCGGGAGAGGGCCTCGCGCACAGCGGCTGCGTTCTCCCTCTCGGCCAGGGCCAGGACGGCGTTCTCCAGGCAGGGCACCTCACCGCTGTTGATCGCATCGATGTAGGTGTGCATCAGGTGCGTAAGCACTGGAACAACAGGATCCGGGAATCAAACATGGTTAATTAGTCCCTCCAAGCAAAGAGTCAATGCTTCGGTGGACCCCAGACACCCTTAAGTGTCTGTCCATGTTAGCAGGAGAGTCCAGGCCACGCATGTGGTGCATCTGCGGATGTTGCAGACGGGGACACAATCGAACGGCTTCCCCATGATGCAGCCTGGGGGAACCCACGTGCCTGCTGGTGTTCAGAAGCGAGGCGCCAGCCCTCGGGCGGGAGAGAGGAGCCCGCCAGGCCTCGAGCCCCCAGCGCTGCAGGAACTGCTCTTACTCGCTCCGGTCACGGTCTGGCCCCCGGGGATCGTCTTGGGGCAGGATCCTTCCCAGATGTATCGGCAGAAATGCTCTGCGGACTGCAAGAAGTCCTCCTCCAACTCCTCGTCGTCCAGCTCCTCCAGCCGGGTCAGCTTCTTCTTGCTGGCGGGACAGTCGAACGTGAAGCACTTCCGCGAAGGGAAGAACTGGCGGATGCAGA